CCCAGGCTGGAGTACAGTGGCGCAATCTCAGCTCACTGCAACCTCCACCTCCCAGGTCCACGTGATTGTCAATGCTCCAGTCTGCCCCATAGCTAGGATTACAGATGTGCACCACCACTCCTGGCTAATGCTTGTATTTTTTAGTAGAGCCAGGGTTTCGCCATGTTGGCCAGGCTGGTCTCAAACTCCTGACCTCAAGTGATCCACCCACCTCAGCCTCCCAAAGTGCTGGGATTACAGGCATGAGCCGCCGCACACAGCTGTATCTATATTTTAGAAAGGCATCCCAAGTATGGTGAGAGTTGAGAAGCTCTGTCCCAGAATGTCAGCAGTAAAGCAGCCAGTGAATATCACGCAAGCAAAGTCCAGCCCTCTCATTTCACAGATGACATCATCAAGCCCGGAGCGAGAGGAGTTGCCCAAGGTCACAGGTTATTGACAGAGAAAGAACTAGTGCCAACACTAGTGTCCGATACCCAGCGCAAGGCTCTCTGGAGCACTAGCTGGTCTGGGCCTGCTCAGTCTCATTCCAGGGCAGACTGAGGGGAACTGCTGAGTCACTGAAACTGAGGCCCAAGGCAGGGTGTGGCCTCCATCGCCTGGGTGGGGGTGGGGCAGCGTGAGCCTACCCCCTCACCTCTGGGTGACTGAGACTGAGGCTGGAAGAGGCACCAGCAGAGAGCTCAGACTGCCTTCCCATTCCCGGGACCCCTCCCTTCAAGAGAAACCACCTTTTCAAAGATTATAGCTGAGGTATGATGACAGTGAAAGAGATCTGACCTAACCGACACCATCTTGCTTCTAACCTCTAAGCTGTCCTTGTTCATTCCTGGGTGTAGGCCAACCTAAGTGTGGGAAGGAATTTAGTTTATACTTTAACTTTGAAACAAAAATGATAATAGCCCTTTCCCGAAATAAACCCGCTTCTTGCCTGGGGATCAGTCTGCCTTCATAGGACTAAGAAATTACAAGATTAGAAATTAAGGTTTGGGAACCGTGCAGCCTCTGGCTCCAAGAGTCTGAACCTCCCCACATTGCTCCTGGGTATAACATCACTGTTGTAAAACCTAAGATCAGTGCTTGAGATATTTTGCAGACCTTGCTGTTCCCAGCTGAAACCGCCATCCAGACCAGTAATCTGGTTCAACCAGTTCTTCCATCTCACCCTGGAACAGTAGACAGCATGAAAAACTCACTTCAACTTCCTGTAATTTTATCTCCAACCTGACCAGTCGGCACTCCCCACTTCCCGAGCCTCTACCCACTAATAATTTTTTAAGGGTAATCCCTTAAAAACTCTGATCTCTGAATTTTCAGGGAGGCTGATTTGAGTAATAAAACTCCGTTCTCATCTGGGCGAAGTGGCTCATACCTATAATCCCAGCACTTTGGGAAGCTGAGGCGGGCGGATCACGACATCAGGAGTTCGAGACCAGCCTGACCAATATGGTGAACCCCCCCATCTCCACTAAAAAATACAAAAAATTAGCCAGGCCTGGTGCCTGTAGTCCCAGCTAATCTGGAGGCCGAGGCAGGAGAATTGCTTGAACCTGGGAGGTGGAGGGTAAAGTGAGATCACACCATTGCACTCCAGCCTGGGCAACAGAGTGAGACTCCCTATCAAAAAAAAAAAGAAGAAGAAGAAAGAAAGAAAAAATAAGTAAATAAAACTCTGTTCTCCTGTACAGCCGGCTCTGTATGAGTTACAGTTTCTCTATTGCAATTCTCCTGTCTTGATAAATCAGCACTGTCTAGGCAGCAGGTAAGGAGAACTCCCTGGGCAGTGACACCAGGACTCCCACCTTTGACAAAACTAATTGAGTGATGAAGTTAAACCAATGCCTAATTTCAAGAGTTGATTCTGGCCTTTGAAATGGCTAATCCATTTTAAAAAATAGTAAGATTGCCGGGCGCGGTGGCTCAAGCATGTAATCCCAGCACTTTGGGAGGCCGAGGCGGGTGGATCACGAGGTCAAGAGATCAAGACCATCCTGGTCAACATTGTGAAACCCCGTCTCTACAAAAAATACAAAAAATTAGCTGGGCATGGTGGCGTGTGCCTGTAATCCCTGCCACTCAGGAGGCTGAGACAGGATAATTGCCTGAACCAAGGAGGCGGAGGTTGCGGTGAGCCGAGATCACGCCATTGCACTCCAGCCTGGGTAACAAGAGTGAAACTCCGTCTCAAAAAAAAAAAAAAAAAAGTAAGATTATCAGTAATAAATACAACTATGCTTAAATATAATTCAACTTTGAGAAAATATTCTTATTTTGTGAGACAGAGTCTTGCCCTGTTGCCCAGGCTGGAGTGCAATGGTATGATCTTGGCTCACTGCCACTCCACCTCCCAGGTTCAAGTGATTCTCCTGCTTCAGCCTCCCAAGTGGCTGGAACTGCAGGTGCACACCACCACACCTGGCTAATTTTTGTATTTTCAGTAGAGACTGGGTTTCACTATGTTAGCCAGGTTGGTCTCGAAGTCCTGACCTCAGGTGACCTGCCTGCCTTGGCCTCCCAAAGTGCTGGGATTACAGGCATGAGCCACTGGACCTGGCCAGCTTTGAGAAAACATTTTTTTTTTTTTTTTTTTGAGATGGAGTTTTGCTCTTGCTGCCCAGGCTGGAATGCAATGGCACAGTCTCGGCTCACTGCAACCTCTGTCTCCTGGGTTCAAACGATTCTCCTACCTCAGCCTCCCTAGTAGCTGGGATTACAGGCCTGCACCACCACACCTGGCTAACTTTGTATTTTTAGTAGAGACTGGGTTTCTCCATGTTGGTCAGACTGGTATCAAACTCCCAAACTCAGGTGAGCCGCCCACCTCAACCTCCCAAAGTGCTGGAATTACAGGCATGAGCCACTGCACCTGGCTGAGAAAATATTCTTTTTTTTTTTTTGAGACGGAGTTTCGCTCTTGTTACCCAGGCTGGAGTGCAATGGCGCGATCTTGGCTCACCGCAACCTCCACCTCCTGGGTTCAGGCAATTCTCCTGCCTCAGCCTCTTGAGTAGCTGGGATTACAGCACCATGCCCAGCTAATTTTTTGTATCTTTAGTAGAGACGGGGTTTCACCATGTTGACCAGGATGGTCTCGATCTCTCGACCTCGTGATCCACCCGCCTCGGCCTCCCAAAGTGCTGGGATTACAGGCTTGAGCCACCGCGCCTGGCAAAAAAGGCCTATCTTTAGAAAGATATGAAAAAAAGGTCTGAGTATATAATCCCATTGGAACCTTCTGACATTTTTTTTTTCTTTGACAGAAGCTTGGTCTTTTGTCAAGGCTGGAGTGCAGTGGCACAATCTCGGCTCTCTGCAGCCTCTGCCCCGCTGGGTTCCAGTGATTCTCCTGCCTCAGCCTCCTAGGTAGCTGGGATTACAGGCGTATGCCACCATGTCCGGTTAATTTTTGTATTTTTAGTAGAGACAGGGTTTCACCGTGTTGGCCAGCCTGGTTTCAAACTCTTGACCTCAGGTGATCTGCCCACCTTGGCCTCCCTAAGTGCTGGGATTACAGATGTGAGAACCTTCCGACTTTGGTACCTTATACACATATTACCCGTTTACTTACATATCCCCCCAAACAAATTAAAACATACTGATTCTTGGGCTGTATCCCCAGAAAAGTATCCAGGATGTCAAAGGTTGGATGCAGGAATCCATGTCTAAAGCACTGTGTGTCAGTTCATTCCACACCCAGAACTGAATTGTCAGGAAAAGCCAAGATTCAAAGGATATTTGGAAACATAAACTCAAAACGGATGTTATCAGGAAAATAAGCAGGAAGATCTCTAAGGGATTATTATTATTATTATTATTATTATTTGAGACGGAGTTTCGCTCTTGTTACCCAGGCTGGAGTGCAATGGCGCGATCTTGGCTCACCGCAACCGCCGCCTCCTGGGTTCAGGCAATTCTCCTGCCTCAGCCTCCTGAGTAGCTGGGATTACAGGCACGTGCCACCATGCCCAGCTAATTTTTTTGTATTTTTAGTAGAGACGGGGTTTCACCTTGTTGACCAGGATGGTCTCAATCTCTTGACCTCATGATCTACCCGCCTCGGCCTCCCAAAGTGCTGGGATTATAGGCTTGAGCCACCGCGCCCGGCCTCTAAGGGATTATTAAGCCATGTTTGGGAACTCACTGATTTTGTTTGATCTCTGCATTTTTTGAAGGGGGAGCGGAATGAGAACAGAGAGAGAGAGAGAGAGTTGCCTAAAGCTGCACACCCAGTCAGAGGCACAGGCCAGTACCCCAGGATTTCTTTTCTTTTCTTTTCTTTTCTTTTTTTTTGAGACAGAGCCTCACTGTTATCACCCAGGCCGGAGTAGAGTGGCACCATCTCAGCTCACTACATCTGTGCCTCCTGGGTTCAAGTGATTGTCATGACTCAGCCTCCCAGGTAGTTGGGATTACAGGTGCCCCTACCATCCCTGGCTAACTTTTGTATTTTTAGTAGAGACAGGGTTTCACCACCTTGGCCAGGCTGGCCTCGACCTCCTGACCTCACGTGATATGCCTGCCTTGGCCTCCCAAAGTGCTGAGATTACAGGAATGAGCTACCGTGCCCAGCCACCCAAGAACATCTGATAACATCAACATCGAATCATCCCTGCCTGCCTTTGTGCAGGGACTTCTTTTTTTTTTTTTTTTTTTTTTTTTTTTTGAGACGGAGTTTCGCTCTTGTTACCCTGGCTGGAGTGCAATGGCGCGATCTCGGCTCACCGCAACCTCCGTCTCCTGGGTTCAGGCAATTCTCCTGCCTCAGCCTCCTGAGAAGCCGGGATTACAGGCACGCGCCATCATGCCCAGCTGATTTTTCTATTTTTGGTAGAGACGGGGTTTCACCATGTTGACCAGGATGGTCTCGATCTCTCGACCTCGTGATCCACCCGCCTCGGCCTCCCAAAGTGCTGGGATTACAGGCGTGAGCCACCGTGCCCGGCTGTGCAGGGACTTCTTACTTAGAAAGTTCTACAGACCCAACGGGCAGGACAGGAAGATAGAGAAGAAAACACCATCTTTAATCAACCCACCTGCACAGAAACCAGGAGAGCATTCCCCTCCATGCAAGGTCCCAGTCAAAAGAGAACCTGGTCCCCTTGCAAAAACCGTCTTATAAAAACAAAAGGCTTCAAAGCACCAGTGGCTACACCCGTTGAGTAGAAAGGGGCCTGGGGAAGTAGGGGTGAAAGGAGTGAGGGCTGGAGGCAGGGATGGCCCATCGGAGGGCAGCAGCTTAGCCTGAGGGAGCTGCCCCACTCTGGAGCTGTACCCACCAGCTGGGAGCTCCATGCCTGTGGGAGCCAGAAGAACTCCTGGGGCTGGCTAATTGTAGATGGGATGGTGAGGTGAGGTTGCCAGCCTTGCTCAGGATATTTTGGCCTTAGAGAGTAGGGAATAGATTGGAGGGTAGTGGGCAAGGAAAGGAGTGGTCACCACAGACAGGCTCAGGTGTGCAAACCATCTGCACCATCTGGGTGTCCCTCTATGCCTCCTGACCGCCTTTCTAACCCAGGGCCATGCCTCTCTCACAGATTGGAATGCTGAGGCCTGATCCTCTCACCTGTGGACACACCAGGCAGGGCATGGGATGCAGGGTCCTCAGGAGCGTCTGTAGAGGGAGGTGGGGAAAAAGTGTTCTCGTCTGTAGTTGCTCCCAAGGAAGGGTGAGAGTGCTGGCAATCCTGAACCCCCCACTACTCACACCCCCATCTGTCCCTTCAGAACTCCTTCTGGGCTTGTGAGAGGAGGCTTCTGGTCATTGGGTTGGTCGTAAACGCTGGTGATCTGTAAACACTAGTGTCTGGGCAGCACTGACCAGCCTTGCTCCTCTCTGGAACCACAAGCCTTCCAACTGGTGAGGTGGATGGAGCTGTCAGGGGGAGCAGAGTTGTGGAGGGGAGGAGGATACAGCAGACCCAGCCTCGGGGACCTGGAAGGGGATGGGGTGACTGAGTTGGGGCCCCACTTTCCTGGAGGAGAGAGTTTAAAAGGTTTGCCAAGGGTGGACAGAGGCTGAGCATAGGAAGGCTTCTCTGTGGGTGGGGCTGAATTTAGGGCTCTGTCCATCCGGTTCCCAATAAGAGAACGAACGGGTATATTGCTTTAAGAGAGGCATTGGCAAGTGGTGGAGGTGGTGGGTGAATATGGTGGCCACATGGGTCTAAGCTGGAGAGGGGTTGGAAATGGAACTCAGAGAGCGGACACTGGGTTTTACAGTCAGAAACTGCAGAAAGTATACTTCCACCAGAAATCTAGCTGTGTGGCCTCAAGCAAATCACAACTCTGGGCCTCAAAATGGGAATTTTAATCCCAGTCTGGCTCAGGGAATTGAGTTAAATGAGAAGTCTAAAAGAGAGCATTTGCTAAGGGATTACTTGAGGTGGGGAGACTGAGGCCCAGAGAGTGCAAGGGTTTTGCTAGATGTCACAGCCAGTGATGGGCCTGTGATTAGAACCCAGGACTCCTGCTCCTAGTTCACAGTCGCTTTCCCAGAGCTGGTGAGTGGTGTGGTGAAATGGGGTGGGTCTGATGTCCTGCTGTTTTGGACAGGGGGCAGTATGCTGGGTGAAGAGGGAAAGGGAGAGGCTGGAGAGGGAGGAAGACCCCAGCTCACGCCAAGGCTGAGATTAAAACAAACAAACAAAAAACCAAAACCAGAAAACCCGCGGTGCCCCTCCCCCGCCCCGCCCCACTCCTCCGAAGTCGGGGCTGTGAAGAGCCAAGTCCAAGTCCAAGACCAAGTCCGCGTCTCCGGCTGCAGACCCAGGGGCGGGCGCAGGCTGCAGTGGGCGCGCGGGGCACCAGGGGGCGCGCCTGCTCCTTGGCCCGAGCTCGCGGCAGCAGCGGTCAGTCCAGCAGCCCAGGGCGAGGCGCCGGGGTGGGCGCTGGGCAGAGGCTACCCCGACCTGCAGGAAACAAAGGCAGGTTAGGGACAGTAGGTCCCAAAAGTATGGGGGAGGGGAGACTCGGGTGCCCTGCCCACTCCTCCGTCCCCTCCTTTCCGCAACCCCGACGCCCGGCCCTCCCCAGCCAGCAGAGCGCCGCGACCCACGTGTACAGAGGCTGCAGCTGTAAATGCGACGTCTTCTGGGGCGCCTGGTATCCGTAGGAGTCAAAGCCTCCGATGAAGTCAACTGCGGAAGCGGGGCGGCGCGTGTTAGGGATGGGCGGCCGGGGCGAGGAGAGAGAGAGGCTGGGTTCTCAAGGGGAAGAATTTGGGGCAGGACCCCACTCTGGAAGCGGAGCCAGATAAGCCATGGGGAGGGGAGCGGCAAGGGTCAGGCCCGGTGCAGGGGCCTGGGGCGGGGCTCCAGCTGGACCCTGAGGGTTGGGCCTCTGGGGGTCTGGAGGTAGCGGGGCCGTGCCAGCGGAGAGTCAGACCCAATCCTTGAGGCTAGAGCCCGGAAGGCCAGGCGGTCCTATAGGAGACAAAGCTCTTGGGGGCGGTGCTCGGGCCTCTAAAGGAGGCAAGACCTCCGATGCGGGTGGGGCGACGCTGGGGAAGGCGGTGCGGGCCCAGCACTGGGCCCATCCCGGAAAGGGCTGGCCAGGCAGAGCCTCCCACTCCAGCCACCTCTTCCCCTCGGAAGGGATCCGTAGTGGACCCTGGGCTCCCTTCCGCCGCGGCCTGTCCCGGGCCTCTGTCCAGGGTGCTGAAGGCGCAGGGCCAGATTCCCCGCTTCCCCAGGCGCGCCTTACTCACAGCTGTCCTCCTCCTCCAGGAACACTTTGCTCACGTAGCAGGCGAACACGAAGCCGAACAGCTGGGAGTGGGGGTGACACGTCAGGGAGGGAAGGAGGAGTGGGAACCTCTTCCTCCACCCCCTGCCCTGCCCTGTACGCCCTGACTGTCGAGGGAGGACATGTGCCAGGATGAAGGCAAACCATAACTTCAAGTTAAATGCTTTCGCCTTAAAAGTCAGACATACATGGTCCAACTCTTCTGAAAGTGTGACTTGAGACAAGTAATTATTTTACCTCTTTGAGCCTCAGTTTTCCCAGCTGGACCTGGGCAACACCTTACAGCTTAAGACAAAAGAGAATCACGTGACTTTGTGAATACAAAGTGCCTAGAAACAGGAACGACTTCTATCTTGGAGCCTTCTTTCTTCCGCGCCCGCCCTTCCTTCTTTTCCTTCCTTCTTTCCTTCCTTCCTTCTTTCCTTCCTTCCTTCCTTCCTTCCTTCCTTCCTTCCTTCCTTCCTTCTTTCAGATAGAGTCTCACTCTGTCACCCAGGCTGGAGTGCAGTGGTGCAGTCATGGCTCACTTCAGCTTGTTTCCTGGGTTTAAGCGATCCTCATACCTCAGCCTCCTGAGTAGCTGGGACCACAGGTGTGAGGCACCACGCCCAGCTGGGGTCACTTTCTTAACTCTCACAACTCTGAGGTTATTATCATTCCTCTTTGTGAATAAGGAAACACACTCAGAGAAGGCAGGCGACTTGTCCAAGGTCACGAAGTGGGTGTATTGAGTATTTAAACCCAGTATTGACTCACAGTCTATTGCCTCATCCTGTTCACTAAACCTGTTCACTCCCTGCATAGGGGTTGGGGCAGGGGTGAGGGAAGGCGGTACAGGGTATGGAAACAGATCCAGACAAAAGGACTGACAGGCTGAAGACCTAGGTTCATCCCCTCTTAATTAGAGCTAAAGAAAGGGATCAGAAATTGTGTGCAGGGTGGGGAATGAAAGGACTCACTGCCAGGAAGATCTGCAGGGCACTGCTGAGGGCTTCAATGTAGGGATAGTCAAGCAGGCAGCCAGTGACAGAGATGACATGGTGGTCCTCCAGAGCCAGGCGGGAGTTCAGAACGGGTGTCACCAGGCAGCCAGGCCCATTCTCCATCCACCAGGAGCGGTGCAGGGATGTGTTGAAGGTCATGATGAAGTCCCGGTCCTGGGGGCAGAGGGGCATGGGATACTGAGTGTGAGAGAGAGGCAGTGGGGAGCTACTGCCCTGGCCCAGGGAGTCTTGATTGGTGAAGGGATCCAGGGAGCCTACACCTGCAAGTCCACATTTGGCCAACAGGTGGCACTTAATGACCACACAGGTCTTACTCTTTTGTCACTGAGATGGGAAGGGGCTGGTGTGTACTCAGGGGCCGCACAATTTTCAGAGCTGGAAGAAACACTAACAGCTGTTGGGTTCAATTTCCCAGCCACTGGTGAAATCCTCAATAGGGGCCCCTTCGCAGCCCATTCAGTCTCTCCTTTGCTCCCGCTGAGTGTGACCCTGGGGGCAAACCTCTCTTCCTTTGGGGCCTTGATCTCCCCATCTGTTAAATGGAGAAGGGGCTGGCCTAGATCATAAATTTTTCTTTTTCTTTCTTTTTTTGGGGGATGGAGTTTTGCTCTTGTTTCCCAGGCTGGAATGCAATGGTGTGATCTTGGCTTCTTGCAACCTTTGCCTCCTGAGTTCAAGTGATTCTCCCATCTCAGCCTCCAGAATAGCCAGAATTACAGGTGCCCACCACCACACCCAGCTAATTTTGTATTTTTAGTAGAGACGGGGTCTCTCCATGTTGGTCAGGCTGGTCTCAAACTCCTGACCTCAGGTGATCCACCTGCCTCAGCCTCCCAAAGTGCTGGGATTATAGGCCTAAGCCATCGTGCCTGGCTAGATCAGAAGTTCTTACCCAAGGTGTGCACCTATGTACTCATCCATGCAGTCACTCATTCAGTCGATAAATACTCACTGCCTGCCAACCAGGGGCCAAGCACTCAGATATGCCATCTTCTTTTATCCCCTCAGCAATCACATAAAGTTGCAGTTGCTATTACGTCCAGTTACTAGATGAGGAAACTGAAGCTCAGAGAGAATCCGCCACTTGCCCAGGGTAACACAGCTAGGAGGTTTTAGAGCTGGGATTTGAATCTAGCAGAGTCAAACTACAAAGCCAATGCTCGTACTCACATATTTTGCCTCCTTTATATCTAAAAATAGAAGTTGTGTCTCTCTGGGCTTGCTCTTATTCAAGCGAAACAGTCCTACTTTCCTCAGCGGTTCTCCATGTGACATGGTCTGCTCAGTCTTCCCTAAACAAACTCTAACTAGTCTCTTTCCCTTCTGAAAAATATTGATCAGAATTAGACCCAAATCTTTGTGGTCTAAGCAGTACAAAGCGCATGGCATTTTCACCTCCCTTGCTTTGAATACTCTACCTCTATTAGTGGGGCCTAACAGTAGCTTTCTGGGCCACCACATACTGTTGGTTTTTACTGAGCTTGTGATCAACTGGGACCCCCAGCTCATCTTCACATGGACTGCTCTTCAGCCTTATCTATTTCATTATTGTGTTGGAGGAGGCCAGAAATAAATCGTGTAGGTGGGAAACGGGGCACACAGATTATTTGGGTGTGGAAGGAGAGGGAGGCCTCTTCAAGACATGATGCTCTGATTCTATACCACAGTACCTTTGGAGCAGGGGATAGGAATGGTCAGGCTCTGCCCTATGGCACTGCCAGGCCTGAGGCTTACCTGGGACAGCTGTCCAACCTCCAAGTAGAAGCAGATGATAAACGCATTCCAGCCAACCCAGAGCACCAGCCAGGCTGCATACTGGGGAAAGCAGAAGTGGGATCAGGGTGGGGCCTGGGGAGTAGGGGATGGGGCGTGCCAGTGGAGACAGAGCTCAGGGATGAGGAGACCTGGGCAGGGGAAATTATGAGATTACCTCACTCAGAGAGCACAGTGTCCTTACAAATCATTTTCACACCCATCAGCTCTTACAACAGCCCTGCAAGGTAGGCACTGTCCTCTCTTTAGAGAGAACTAATTTAAGGCTGAAAGGAGGTTGAAGCTTTCCAAGATCACACAGCTAGGAAGAGGTAAGGCTGCCACTCAAATCCGAGTTCTCCTATAGCTAATCCCATCCACTGTGCTAACAACACCCTCTAGACCAGCAGTCTCTAGAATACTGGAATCACTCAAAGATGTTTGTTAAAAATGCAGATTCTTAGGCCGGGCTCGGTGGCTCAAGCCTGTAATCCCAGCACTTTGGGAGGCTGAGGCGGGCGGATCACGAGGTCAAGAGATCGAGACCATTCTGGTCAACATGGTGAAACCCCGTCTCTACTAAAAATACAAAAAAATTAGCTGGGCATGGTGGCGTGTGCCTGTAATCCCAGCTACTCAGGAGGCTGAGGCAGGAGAATTGCCTGAACCCAGGAGGCGGAGGTTGCGGTGAGCCGAGATCGTGCCATTGCACTCCAGTCTGGGTAACAAGAGCGAAACTCCTACTCAAAAAAAAAAAAAAAAAAATGCAGATTCTTGGGTTCTACCTCTAGACCTACTGATTCTGAATTTCCAGGGATGCTGTTTAGGAGCTGTTTAAGCAATCCCTAGGAGATTCTGACTCAGATGACACTTTTAGAAACATGTCCCAGGTGGTCAGCTACTAGAGGGCGAGGATTTTGCCTGCCTGGCTCACCACTGCAATGCCAGTTCTTAGCACAGAATAGCTGGAGAAACCCATTAAGAATACAGGAAGTGGGCCAGGCGCAGTGGCTAGTATCTGTAATTTCAGCACTTTGGGAGGCCAAGGTGGGCAGATCATTTGAGCCCAGGCAACATGCAGAAAACCCATCTCTTAAAAAAAGAAAAAGAGTCTTCCCCACCCCCATCCACCAGAGTCTTGCTCTGTTGCCAGGCTGGAGTGCAGTGGCGCGATCTTGGCTCACTGCAACCTTCGCCTCCCAGGTTCAAGAGATTCTCCCACTTCAGTCTCCCAAGTAGCTGGGACTACAGGCACGTGCCACCACACCCGGGTAATTTTTTTTGTATTTTTAGTAGAGACAGCGTTTCACTATGTTGGCCAGGCTAGTCTTGAACTCCTGACCTCGTGATCCACCTGCCTTGGCCTCCCAAAGTGCTGTAATTACAGGCATGAGCCACTACACCCAGGCAAAAAAAGTCTTAATTTTTTTTTTTTTTTTTTTTTGAGACAAGTTCTCAGTCTCTCACCCAGGCTGGAGAGCAGTGGATGCTGGGAACTTTAGTCCAAAAGAGACAAGAGAGTATCCTGCAGCTTTGTGCCTGAGTATGTATGTGATATCATCTCACATGGCTGTGGCTGGAGTCTGGGTATAAGGGAACCCAGGGGGGATGGAGGCAGGACCATGGATGGGGCCTGGTGAAAGGCTGGGGTGAGCATACCAAACCGAGGCCCCATGGATGGAAAGGGAGTCCAGCCTGGACCCTGGATGCCCTCACTCTATCAGTTTTCTCCCTCCCTTCCTTGCCCTGTAAATTGTACCTGAATGATACAGGTCAGGCCAATCTGCTCCAGGCATCCTTCCATCTGGCTGGAGGGAGAGGGCTGGGAGAGGAGGGACTGGGAGCAGCATTGCTAGGGCAGCACCAAGACCCCTTGGCCCCTCAGTTTTCCCTCATCCTGAATGTGGCCACTTCTGGGGAGAACAGCAATCCACTCACAGCAGTGAGCCAGAGAGGGGGTTAGGGTAGATTTGAGAGCTGGATGCTTCTACCCAAGTCCTGTGTCTGCAATCCTAGTGGCTGTCGCCTGGCAGACAGTGTTGTTGACAGTGGTGCCTGGGGCTTTCCTGAGACCTGGGGAGAAGGGTTCTCTTATGTCAGATGAGAGAGAGCCTTGTTAGAGTCCTGTTTACCTGGCTTCTGAGCCTCCGGAGGTGGGGAGAGAAGTCCTACAATGAGTGTGTGTGGGCTATGGAGGCAGCGTGACACTGCATGTTATTGTGATTGTAGGTGTCATGCTTGTGTGTAGTAAATCTAGTGAAAATCCTTTTCCCTCAAGACAGCCATGTGAAGAGGTCACTGAGGAACAGCAGGGAACATGGGTGAATCTAGCTGAAAGCAGGAGTTCGACAGGGACCATCAGGGACCAGGACTTGGGAAGAGGCTGTCGGGGAGGAGGAGAGATACCCAGACTCCTGGGGCTGGAGCACAGAGAGGCACTGACCTCAAAGCCACACTAGCTGCTCCAGGCCACATCCTTGATGTACATGAGGCAGGAGAGACAAATGCCAAGCCTTCCTGAAGCTTTCTGAGAATCTCAGTAAGATAAAGCCCACCCTCCTGTGTCCCTGCGCCCACCCCTCGGCTTCCTGAGGCCATGTGTTGCCATGGCAGAGGCCTTCACTGTAGATCTGACGCTCTAATCCTGCCGTTAGCTGTGTGACCTTAAGAAGACTCACAACCTTGCTGAACTTCAGTTTCCTCATCTGGAAAATGGAGCTGGTAAGATCTACGTCACAGGGCTATTGTAGACATAAGATGAAGCACGTGAAACTTAGCAGCATGCGTGGCACATGCCAGGCACTCACTACATGATCCATTTTGTTTATATTTGGATTATTTCCCTAAAAAATTCTTCAGAAAAAAAAAAACATGTCTCCTATGAGCAAAGAAGCATTGAGATGTGCACATTTACCCCATCTTGTCTTGGGTGGAGCCAAGACTGGTGTGCCAGGGTTGGGGGACATTTCTGGTTTTGAGGAGCAGGGAGGGGTGGAGTGGGCAGGGGTGAGGAGAGGAGGTGGCTTGGGAAGGGGCTAGGTGAGCCGTACCAGGATGAGGTACCGGGAGCGGTACTGCACGGTGCCAAAGATGCCCAGGATGACTGCCATGATGTGTAGGAAGTTGGCTAGGATGGGAGCCCACTGGTAGCCCAGGAAGTCAAAGATCTGCCGCTCCAGCGCAGCCACCTGTGGAAGAGACAGCCTAAGGCCACTGTCACCCCCTGAAAGGGAAGGACAGGGACTCCTGATTGACCTTGGGGAGCAGGTGGCACCAGTTACCATGGTGATGAGGTGTAAGTCTCAGAACCATTCAGTCCTTCACTAGCAAAGGGATGCTGGGAGGTGAGGATAAGCCTGTGGGAGTGGGGTGGACCCTTAAGCTTGATCATCACTTTGAGGTGGGCTGAAAGGTGACAGGAGCCAAGGTTCAGAACACCCTCCTCCCTGCCGTGGAGTCCCTTCCCTCTAGCAGCTCAACCTCCTGAACCTCCTCCACGTGGGGAAGATGGTGTGGTCAGAATCCAGACTGCCACCGCATCCTGGTCAAAGGCCGAGCCACAGCCCTGGAGGGCAGGGAAGTCCTAGAACCCGAGTCACCTCTTCCAAGGATCCCTATCTGGAGCTTGCCCTGGCCCATGGCATTCCTGGGCTACAGAGAAGGAATGCTTTTCACTCCCCTTCCCCGAGGGAGCGGGAATAGATTGCAACTGGCCTCGAATCCTCCTCTTCCTGTTTCCACGCTCTTCTGCAGTGCCCTTCCACACGAATGCTGTGCCTGGCCAGGCAACTTGCTTTGCCTAAAGGGACTTTGGCAAGTGCGATGCAAATGAAGGCTTGAAAAAAGCATGTGTCCAGCCTGGGCAACATGGTAAAACCCCATCTGGACAAAAAAATACAAAACGTTGCCAGGCGTGGTGGTGCACGCCTGTAGTCCCAGCTACTCAGGAAGCAGAAGTGAGAGAATCGCTGAAGCCCAGAAGGCAGGGGTTACAGTGAGCCAAGACTGAGCCACTGCACTCCAGCCTGGGCAAGAGAGTGAGACTCTGTCTCAAAGAAAAGAAAAGAAAAAGGCCGGGCACGGTGGCTCAAGCCTGTAATCCCAGCACTTTGGGAGGCCGAGGCGGGTGGATCACGAGGTCGAGAGATCGAGACCAGTCCTGGTCAACATGGTGAAACCCCGTCTCTACTAAAAATACAAAAAATTAGCTGGGCATGGTGGCGCGTGCCTGTAATCCCAGCTACTCAGGAGGCTGAGGCAGGAGAATTGCCTGAACCCAGGAGGCGGAGGTTGCGGTGAGCCGAGATCGCGCCATTGCACTCCAGCCTGGGTAACGAGAGCGAAACTCCGTCTCAAAAAAAAAAAAAAAAAGAAAGAAAAGAAAAGAAGAAATGGGTGTGCACTGGAGCTTGCCCACTTGTTTCACTTATAACAAGACTACCTTGTAAATGAGCCCCAGGTGACCTGCTGGAGGATGAGTGGCCATGGGGAGGAGCAAGAAGGCGCCTCAGCTGACAGCCCATCAGCCATTAGCCATGTAAGTGAGGCCGTGCTAGACCCCCCCGGGTCACTAGCTGACCACAGATACACAGCCCAGACCAGAATAATCACCTAACTGACTCACAGAATTATGAACTAAATAAAATGGTTGTTTATTTTTAAAGTTAAGTATTTACTATTATTATTATTATTATTATTTTGAAACAGAGTCTCACTGTTACCCAGGCTGCAGTGCAGAGGAGTGATCTCGGCTCACTGCAACCTCTGCCTCCTGGGCGGAGTCCTCAGCTACTCGGGAGGCTGAGGTGGGGGATGTTAAAGCCAACAAGCACCAGATCAAATACTCCCAAAGTGCTGGGAGTATAGGCGTGAGCCACAGCACTTGGCCTCATCTGCTGAATTTAATGACAAGGAGGTCGCCAGTGACCTCAGTAAGAACTGCTTCAGTGGTGAAGCAGAAAGTCACACTGGCAGAAGACTGAGTAGCAGGGAAGGCCGTGGAGACCTTTTATGTAGTTTTGGATGTGAGTGTGTTGAGATAGATAACAAAGCTGATCAGCTGGAAGATGGTCAGGAGCTTTTTTTTTTTTTTTTTTTCTTTTTGAGACAGGGTCTTCTTGCTCTTTCTGGAGTGCAGTGGGCTATGACGGCTCACTATAGCCTCAGCCTCCTGGGCTCAAGCAATCTTCCCACCTCAGCCTCTCAAGTAGCTGGGACCACAGGCATGCATCACCACACCCGGCTGATTTCTTTCGTGTTTTTTATAGAGTTGGGGCTTTTGCCATATTGCGCAGGCTGGTCTCAAACTCCTGAGCTCAAGCAATCCACCCACGTGTGCCTCACAAAGTGCTGGGATTACAAGCGTATACCTAGACACTTTTTCTTCTTTCTTTCTTTCTTTTTTTTTTTTTGAGACGGAGTTTCGCTCTTGTTACCCAGGCAGGAGTGCAATGGCGCGATCTCGGCTCACCGCAACCTCCGCCTCCTGGGTTCAGGCAATTCTCCTGCCTCAGCCTCCTGAGTAGCTGGGATTACAGGCACGCGCCACCACGCCCAGCTACTTTTTTGTATTTTTAGTAGAGACGGGGTTTCACCATGTTGACCAGGGATGGTCTCGATCTCTCAACCTCGTGATCCACCCGCCTCGGCCTCCCAAAGTGCTGGGATTACAGGCTTGAGCCACCGCGCCCGGCTTCTTTTTTTTTTTTTTTATGGTGAAAAGATATACATATATTTAGAATTAGCCAGCTGGACTGTTTAGATAATTCCAATTTCGTTGGCAACATTCAAAGCGTCGTAATCAGGAGCCAGTCGAACATATGCCTTCTTCTCTCCATCAGGCCGAATCAGGGTGCTGACCTTGGCCACATCAATGTCACAGAGCTTCTTCGCGGCCTGTTGGATCTGGTGCTCGTTGGCTTTAACATCCGCAGTGAACACAAGTGTGTTGTTGTCTTCCATCTTCTTCATGGCGGACTCAGTGGTCAGCGGAAACTTGATGATAGCAAAGTGGTCCAGTTTGTTTCTCCTGGGGGCGCTCCTCCGAGGATGTTTGGGCTGCCTCCTGAGTCGCAGTGTCTTGGGCCGCCGGAAGGCGGGTGACGTGCGGATCTTCTTTTCTTTGTGGCTGTGGACACCTTTCAACACTGCCTTCTTGGCTTTTAAAGCCTTTCCTTTGGCTTTGGCTTTAGGACGGGCAGGAGCTTCCTTCTTCGCTTTCGGCGCCATCTTGTGAAAAGGGTCCTTTTTCTTTCTTTTAAATGGGAGAGGCTTTGAGCTTTTTTAAGAGCCAGTGAGAAGGATCCGGGGAAAGGGAGAAGCTATGTTTATAAGAGGGGACCGTGGATGGTCCGGATTCAGCTCCTCTGAGAAGACAGGAAGAGCTGGATCCAGAGTGCAGGTGGCCAGGGCCAGGAGCAGTGGCTCATGCTGTAATCCCAACACTTTGGAAGGCCAAGGCAGGTGGGTCACTTGAGGTTAGGAGTTCAAGATGAGCCTGGCCAACGTGTTGAAACCCCAACTCTACTAAAAATACAAAAATTAGCCCACTGTGGTGGTGCATGCCTGTAGTCCCAGCTACTCAGGAGGCTGAGGCAGGAGAATTGCTTAAGCCTGGGAGGTGGAGGTTGTGCTGACCTAAGATCACGCCGCAGCACTCCAGCTTGGGCAACAGAGTGAGACTCTGTCTCAAAAATAAAAAAATAAAAACAGAGTGGCCGGGCGCAGTGGTTCAGGCCAGTAATCCCAGCACTTTGAGAGGCCAAGGTGGGCGGATCATGAGGACAGGAAATCAAGACCATCCTGGCTAACATGGTGAATGAAACCTCGTCTCTACTAAAAATATAAAAATCAGCTGGGTATGGTGCTGCATGCCTGTAGTCCCAGCTACTCAGGAGGCTGAGACAAGAGAATCACTTGAACCCAGGAGGCGCAGCCTGCAGTGAGCCGAGACAGTGCCACTGCACTCCAGCCTGGGCGACAGAGTAAGACTTTGTCTCAAAAAAATAAAAATAAAAACAGAGTGCAGGTGGTAGGAATGGCCTTGGGTGGAAGGAGAGGCAGTGAGGGTGGGGATTGGGGGAGGGTGGAGTGATCCCAGGAGAGGAGAGGAGGGGAGGGGAAGTAGGGAGGAGAAGGGAGGAGAGGGGAGGAGAGGAGAGGAGGGGAGGCTCACATCTGTCATCCCAGCACTTTGGGGAGCCGAGGTGGGTGGAGGTCAGGAGTTCGAGACCAGTCTAGCCAACGTGGGGAAACCCTGTCTCTCCTAAAAAATACAAAAAATGACACAGGCGTGGTGGCAGACCCCTGTAATTGCAGCTACTGGGGAGGCTGAGGCAGAAGAATCACTTGAACCCAGGAGGCGGAGGTTGCAATGAACCGAGATCATACCACTGTACTTCAGCCTGGGTGACAGAGCAAGACTCCACCTCAAAAGAAAACACACACACACACACACACACACACACACACACACACAAAGAAAGAAGGAAAGGAGGGAGGGAGGAAGAAAGAGAAGGGAAGGAAAGAAGGAAGGAAGGAAGTAGGGAAGGAGGGAAGGAAGGAAGGAAGGAAGGAAGCGAGCGAACTGGGTCAGGGGAGAGCAGAGATCAAAGGCAGAGAGGACTGACAGGCAGGAATGTGGGGCTTCCTCTGTGATCAATGGCAGTGAAGGCAGGGATGTGAGGCCTGGGTGACTTGTTCTCATCTGTCACTCTGGGACTACAGTCAGGGAACTCATTCTTTGTGGCTGGGATGAGATCTGTTATTTCAGAAAAAGCAACTGGGCAGGGTGGTGGCCAGCCTTCCCCTGGCAGGAGATCAGGGAGAAGCCTGTATCTACTGCCCCCAGGAACTTTCATCCCAGCCCACTTAGGAGAGGGATTCAAGAAGCTATCTTGGCTTGGCTTGCAGCTGACCAGGTAAAAATATCCCCAAAGTGAATTTTTCCCTCAGCGCACGTGCATTTGCAGTTTTTGCAAAGGAGTAGATTGCTGTTGCCTCTGCACAGTTCCTCCCTTTTAAGTAACAAAGACACAGCAAGGCGGGTTATGATTTACAGTCACCGCAGCCCTCAGATTAGTGTTTCGGAGCTAATGCAACAAGGTGGGAAAGATATTCCTCTTATTATTGTTAATTAGTTGCATGTAACTGCTACACAAGTCCTGGAATATTTGACATGGTTTTCTTTCGTTTTTTATTTTTTTATTTTTTGAGATGGATTCTCGCACTGTCACCCAGGCTGGAGTGCAGTGGCGCAATCTCAGCTCACTGCAACCTCCACCTCCTGGGTTCAAGTGATTCTCCTGCCTCAGCCTCCCAGATAGCTGGGATTACAGGTGCCCATCACCACACCCAGCTAATTTTTTGTTAAAAAAAAATGGGGGGCCGAGCGCGGTGGCTCAAGCCTGTAATCCCAGCACTTTGGGAGGCCGAGGCGGGTGGATCACGAGGTCAAGAGATCGAGACCATCCTGGCCAACATGGTGAAACCCCGTCTCTACTAAAAATACAAAAAATTAGCTGGGCATGGTGGCACGTGCCTGTAATCCCAGCTACTCAGGAGGCTGAGGCAGGAGAATTGCCTGAACCCAGGAGGCGGAGGTTGCGGTGAGCCGAGATGGCGCCATTGCACTCCAGCCTGGGTAACAAGAGCGAAACTCCGTCTAAAAAAAAAAAAATATATATATATATATATATATAATAAATATATTTTGGGCTGGATGTGGTGGCTCACGCCTGTAATCCCAGCACTTTGGGAAGCTGAGGCGGACAGATCACAAGGTGAGGAGTTCAAGATTAGCCTGACCAACATGGTGAAACCCCATCTCTACTAAAAATACAAAAATTAGCAGGGCATGGTGGTATGCGCCTTATCGCAGTTACTTGGTGAGGTGAGGCAGGAGAATCACTTGATCCTGGGAGGTGGAGGTTGCAGTGAGCTGAGATGGCACCACTGCACTCCAGCCTGGGTGACAGAGCAAGACTTGTCTCAAAAACAAATAACAAACAAATTAATTAATTAAATATATATTTGGGCCAGGCTTGGTAGCTCACGCCTGTAATCTCAACACTTTGGGAGGCCGAGGCAGGTGGATCACTTAAGCCTAGGAGAGTATTGAGACTAGCCTGGGCAACAAGGAAAGACCCCGTTCTCTACAAAAACAAAACAAAACAAAACAAAACAAATCAACTGGGCATGGTGGCATGTGCCTGTAGTCCCAGCTACTCAGGAGGCTGAGGCAGGAAGATCACCTGAGCCTAGGGAGATTGAGGCTGCAATGAACAGTGTGCCACTGCAAGCCAGCCTGGGAGACAGAGTGAGACTGTCTCAAAAAAAAAAAAAGATATATTTAAATCTGCACTCACCATCGGAGGTGGCTTTCTGCAGGCCTGGGTCATAGCTCTGACTACCCCGGGTTGTACTGTCTGATTTCCTGTCCCCCTCCTCTACTAAGGGGGTACTGAGTTCCCAAAGGGCGGGGGCCACAGCTTCCTTCCTTCTACATCCCAGAGCTAGCACAGAGCCTGACATAGACTAAACGTTCTGTGAATAAATAAGTGATGAACCCTGGCTGGGTGAGGACCTGTCAGATGTCGGACGGATGAATAAACGGGTCTGGCTGGCTGTAGATAAATGAGTGAATGATTGTTGAGCGTGAGGATGAAGGAAGGCCAGGGCCGTGTTGAGAGTGGTAAGAATAGCCCCAGCTCCATGTCAAGTGAAGAGAGCAGTCCCTGTGAGCCAGACAAGCAGGCCTTCCTACCAAAGCAGGGAACTGAGCTGCACTGTGAAGACTAAGGAAGACTTGGATAAAGGCAAAGGGAGGCCTGGTGCAGTGGCTCATGTCTGTAATCCCAGCATTTTAAGCAGCCAAGGCAGGAAGATCACCTGAGGCCAGGAGTTCAAGACTACCCCAGGCCACATAGTGAGACCCAATGTCTACAAACAATTTAAAAATTACCCAGGTGCAGTGGCACATGCCTGTAGTCCCAGCTGCTAAGGAGGGTGAGGCAGGAAGATGCCCTGAACCTAGGAATTTGAGGTTACAGTGACCTGTGATCACCACATTGCGCCCCAACCTGGGCAAAAGTGCAAGACTTTCTCCAAATGTCAAATAAAAAATAGGCCGGGCTCAGTGGCTCACACCTATAATCCCAGCACTTTGGGAGGCCAAGGTGGGTGGATCATGAGGTCAGGAGTTCAAGACCAGCCTGGCCTATATGGTGAAACACAGTCTCTACTAAAAATACAAAATTAGCCAGGTGTGGTGGTGCATGTCTGTAATCCCAGCTACTCAGGAGGCTGAGGCAGGAGAATTGCTTGAACTCAGAGGTGGAGATTGCAGTGAGCTGAAATTGTGCCAATGCACTCCAGCCTGGGCAACAAGAGCAAAACTCCACCTAAAAAATAAATAAATAAAATACAATAAAATATAGGCTGAGTGAGGTGGCTCACCCCTGTAATCCCAGCACTCTGGGAGGCCAAGGTGGGCTGATCATGAGGTCAGGAGTTCCAGACCAGCCTGGCCAATATGGTGAAACACCATCTCTACTAAAGATACGCTATTAGCCAGGCGTGGTGGCACATGCCTGTAATCCCAGCTACTTGGGAGGCTGAGGCAGGAGAATTGCTTGAACCCAGGAAGCGGAGGTTGCAATGAGCTGAGATCGCACCACTGCACTCCAGCCTGGACAACAAGAGCAAAATTCCATCTCAAAAAACATAGAAAATAAGGCAAAGGCAAATGAAGGTGGGACTTCAGCTCTTGTTATAGCCTCTTGGAGGCAGGAGCTAACAGGCTATTCAGGATTGAACCAGATCCTAGAGGCCCTCAGTGCCAAACTAAGAAGCTTAGATAGTTAAGCCTTCTATTAACTAGCCACTGTTTATCAACTCTAATTGTCTGTTAGTTTCTGTGATATCTCCATATCCCCACAACAACTTCTCAAGAGAAGAATTATCTTGTCTGTTAATAGTTGAAGAAACAGATTCAGAGAGGGAAAGTGACTTGCCCTAAGTCATACAGTAGAGCTGGAATTTGAACCTGAGTTTGAGTGACTACAGATCTGCTGCAGCTTTAAAATAAAACAAAACAACAAAAAGCAAAACAAACAAACAAAAAACTATCTCTGTTCTCTATTAATAAGGTCACAGAGACCAGAGGGGTTTTGAGCAGGCGCCAGGGAGTGGAGATGGTATCATCTCTTAGGTGGATTTTTTTTTTTTTT